TGGAGCGGAGGAGCCGGGGGCTGGGCTCAATTTCTACAGAGGGTGGAAACCCTCTTGCCTCTGGTTGTAGCAACGAGGATTTATATGCTGTAGCTCTTCTACTGTTTGCAGTAGCAGTTAGCATCAAAGCTATTTTTTTTAGTTAGCTGAAGACTAATAATTAAAAGCTGCAAATGAGGGTAATAGCCAAAAACACGCATTTTTTGTCACAATGCCTATTTCCTCTAGTTAAGAAACTATTGCATTTCCTATGCTTGGCTTACACCTGAAAGGCAAAAAAGCTGTCTTGCCAGTTACTTATAAAATGTACTTTACAGACTAAAATAAGTATTTTTAATTAAATGTTCTTTGTTACAGTTTTGAGAATTTTAACGTAAGCTTCATATTATTGAATCAGACTACACTTAAATTACATACCAGCAAACTACTGGCAAAAGGTGCTTCTGCACAGTTTATATTCCTGTAAGTAGGGAATGGACTGATGCGTTGTCCCAAGAGTGTTGCTGTCCCCGTCACTACTTAGTGTTACAGGGAAACATGATAGCATGGCAGGAAGTAGGACAAGATTACAGCACATAAAGTGCTATGCCTGTGCATCACTCAAAAATCAAAATTTCAGTGGATACTAAACTTTGTATGACAGCTTTGGCCAAAGGTGAAAGACCAGCTCTTGGTTGCAATGACTTCAGTAGCAGAAAAGGTTTCGTCTGAGCCAACAGAGTCACCCTGCCTCTAAAACCCATATCTTTATCAAGCTTTGCATAAGTATTTATTATACTGCGATGTGAACAAATCAGCAATTTTTCAAATATTGGTATTTTGTTTTTTCATATGAATTTAATTTGTCTGGGTGTAGCTTATTTTATAAATCTTTAGGCTCTAAATAGAGCTCAGACTAAATTCACTGTGAAGTAGTAAGAGTTGCCTCTTCTACCAAGGAGTTTAATTCTCTCTTTTAAAAACTTCATACATTTTGAAAGGTGCCAAATGACAAATTTGAAGTTGGCTTGTATGCCAAGACATAAGTTATTTGAGGTCTGCTCTAAGTCTGATATATGGATTGATGTTCCTCTTGTTTCATGAATATGAAACCAGAGTTCTAAAATGCTGAATGTGTGTAACACACGTAAAAAGAGATTGTCTAAGCACTATTATATTTAGCTTTGTAGAATAAATATTTGCTGTGTTAAATATGTAGCTGTAAAGAAGGTTCTGAGAATGAATTGCTAGTCTCTGGCACTGATCAGTTATAAATTGAGTTTTACTTGAATGCTTTTTGCAGCATCAGAAGCCAACCCTACAAATAATAGCTCATCCATTCCATTACATATTTTTGTGATAAGCTACTAAATACATAGAACTTGTATGAGAATGTATTTAATGATTCACAGTTGAAGCTGAGTACATCTGTAAGGGTGTTTAAGATTTGTCCCCTTTTGCACCTATGGCCTCTCATGTTTGCAGACGGTTTTGGCTACTTTCACTTTCCGGTTCCTTGGCACCCTTTTACCTCCTTTCTGTCCCCTCTGTCTTTTTCCTATATCCTCCTTTAGAAGCTTAGAACCAGAAAATGAACCATGGGGTGCGTATCAAGAAAAATAGGCAGCAAGTTGTTTTAAATCAAAATATACATTACCCTCCTGTCTTCCTTGTCGCTCCTCTTTACGCATTCCAGTGTCACTCAGTGTCCAGGTGTCACTCAGATTCTTATAAAATAGAATAGAATATTTCAGTTGGAAGGGACCTACAACGATCATCCAGTCCGACTGCTTGAGCAATTCAGGGCTGACCAAAAGTTAAAGCGTGTTACTAAGGGCATTGGCCAAACGCCTCTTAAACACTGACAGGCTTGGGGCATCAACCACCTCTCTAGGAAGCCCGTTCCAGTGTTTGACCACCATCTCGGGGAAAGAAATGCTTCCTAATGTCCAGTCTGAGCCTCCTCTGACGTAGCTTTGAACCATTCCCACGCATCCTGTCACTGGATAGCAGGGAGGAGAGCTCAGCACCTCCCTCTCCAGGTCCCCTCCCCAGGAAGCTGTAGGGAGCAATGAGGTCGCCCTTCAGCCTCCTTTTCTCCAAACCAGACCAACCCAGAGTTCTCAGCTGCTCCTTGTAGGACATTCCTTCCAGCCCTCTCACCAGCTTTGTTGCCCTCCTCTGGACAAAATCAAGGCCCTTCACATCCTTCTTAAATTGTGGGGCACAGAACTGCACGCAGCACTTGAGGTGAGGCTGCGCCACCACTGAATACAGCAGGATAATCTGCTTTTTTGACTGGCTGGTTATACTGCGGTTTTGTCAGATCAGAGAACACTCCATTTGTTTGTAGTACAAGTAGTCTCTTAAATCCCAATAGCCAAAGTTAGATGAGTGAGGAAGAGTGATGCCTTAGTTGATGTTCCCAGCTCAGCAGGGTGTGAAATCCCATCGCTCATTATGCTTTGCTGCTTTCAGAAAAAGCAGATACTGGCAGACTGCATTTCTTCATTCTTGTTTGGGTTTCTTCTAGGTATGCTTGAGTGCTCAGATCCATTCACCAGTGAAGCTCTCTTGACCTAAGTTTGTTGAAAGTGTATTCAGAACTGCAGGGTTGAGTTCCCAACAACAGGTTAATTGTCAAACGTCCAGCTAATTAAATTGGACACACAATGTGATTTGTTACACTTAGACCTTGTGAATCCTTAAAATGTGGATATGTTTTCTAGGCAGAAACTTCATTTTTGTAAATTTCTAAAAGAAAACGGAATATGGACGAAATTGAATTAACTATTATTATACAGTCTTTGTAGGCTTTTTCAAGTCCTATTTTCATTAAAATAGTTGTGCTAAATGGAAGAATTCAATGAAGCATGTTGTGTGCCTGCAAAGCACTACACCATTAAACATATTTCTGACTGCCAGTCAGGTTTATCTAGATAACGGCCTGTGTTGTAGATATGATTCTCATACTTTGTATTTTTCAGATCAGAGGCTAAATGTGGCACTTGGACAGTATGAAAGAGATGAGGTTTTGAGAGCTATGGTTGAGCAGGTATGTGAACTCAGGGATGGAAGCAGTAAGAATGTGTGTGGTGAGGTTTTGAGAGAAATGTCTTTGCATAGATAGAGCACAGCCCGCTTCAGTGTGGCCTGCCCTTCCTTTGGGTCCATCACACACCTCCTGAGTTGCTGTGTATTTTTCCAAGCAGCAGCAGATAAACTTGCAACAGTGAATTCTGTTATTTTTCATGCATTTTCGTAAGTTTGTGTATGCAAGAGAACGTATCCCTGAAAGAATACTTGTTTTCTACTTCAGTAGACTTTTTCACTTTTATAGACTTCTCTTTTCTAAGGGGTTGGTCTCATGTTAAGATAACATTTTGTGCTGGGTACCATAAGCCTGTCTGGAAGTCTGTGCAGAAGCTAGAGCGTCAGCACTTTCCTGATGCTGAGATGCATGGAAATGGACTTAGCACTTACACAAACTTACGATTGTTCTTTTAAGAGCAAGATGATCCCCCTCTGATGCAATTACGTTTATATCAGAGCATCTCCAGGGGGGGAAAAAAAAAAAAAAAAATTACAGTTTTTTCAAATTGGGCCAGCACTCAAGGATTTTTGAACATAAGCCTGACCTGAAGTGATCATGTGGGATATCGTGTATGATTACAGTACAGGCAGAACAACAGCTCTGGGTTGCATATAAAAATTTAAAACTACATGCAATCATGCGCAAGGTCTAATATATAAAGTATACCATTACAGAAAAATGTCCCTGGCGGTGATGGCGCATCAGGATCCAGGATGATGGACCAAAGGTAACTGATTCCAAATGATAAGTGGGAATACTACAAAGTATTCAAAAGAAATTGTCCTGTGCTTTTAAAAGTGTAAATATCCAGGTGAAACTGGCCTTATGCACACATGTTCACAGCTCTGAGAACTTGTGAATGGAGATCTGTAAAAGTGTTCCCATAGCAGTTGTTTTAGATACTATTCTCTTTATTCAGTAAATTAAATATATTACTTTTCTTGCACAATCTGTGAAATAAAGGATGAGAGCTGAATGAAAGAATTCTCTAGCCTAGATTTTAAGATAATAAACAAAAATGCAGGTAAGATTGTACTGATGTAGGTAACTCAGGTAACTGCTGTCTGTTGAGGTCAGGTGGATGTTTTTAAAAACGCTTATTTGACAGTCTTCAACTAATGGCTGCTTATTAGTAAATTGCTTAATAATAATTGTCGTTTCCTTTCTGTTATAAAAATAACCTATACTTACTGGTTAGCTTTTAAGGTATTGTGACTCCAGACTCATAAAGAATTTTCAGAGAATTACTATCAATTACAAAAGTATTAGGAAGGAAAAAGTATCTAAGTAGAACTACATTATTTTACATTATCTTACAGGCCGCTTTACTGTTGTATGTGAAAGCAGTGACAAAGTCTAGTCTTTAATTGTTTGGGATTCTATGGATGAAATGTTAATGTCCCATGTCCTAGTTCTGTTATATACAAAATCTGCGGTTAATGTTCATACTTTAAAAGTAGTAACTAAATTTGTTCGTTTGATTCTGGTGAATGTTGAGCTTGTAAATAAAGAGAAGTGACTGCTCTGTTCTCTAGATTAAGAATTCTATAAAACTAGTTAATTATCAGAACAGTGTTTCACCATTTACAAAATCTATTCTAAGCATGTTTTTCAACTTTTTAGCTTGCCAAGTCTAATCACAGAGTATGATAGACACTTGGAAGAAATGAGAGCACAGCTGCAGCTTTATCAGGTATGGATGTTCATAACATTTCAGACTGTATATTCTTAGGTTTTTACAGTATTAATAATTAGGCCATTAGTTTTTGTCAATAAAGGAAAGTGTGCCTGTGCCGTGCTTCACAAACTTGCTGGACTGCAGTCTGCCTCAAATGAGTGGAGATGTTTCTATGAAAAGGTTGGGAGATTGTCCAAATTGCACAATTACCCTGCCTTCGGGGAAGCAGTGTTGCGAAATGAAACCTACATGCCTGCTTTATTTCTCTACTTGTTCTGATACGGCTGCAGGTGTTTTTCTAGGTGACATTCAGATGAGGCAGCTGTTTCCCCCTTTCCTTACAGGTCTGATCTTGGCCATGCAGTCCTGCTCAGTCCTCCTTCTTCATTCTTAATAATTCTTCAGATTGAAATAATTCTTTATATGTTTGTTATCATGGAGGGTGAGGTGGAGAGGGACTGTCCTGCTTTCAACTACAGAAAAATGAAACCTTTTAATGCTTCGTATGATCACCAGAAAGCAAAGCGATATGTTTAATAATTAAAACCTGTGGCGTACAGAAAGCAATTTTTACTTGTGATCTACATGCAGAAGTTATACTCTGGTTTTGGTTTAATGAGCTTAATTTGTTTAATCTGTCCATCATAAAAATTCTGCAAAAACAGTCTTTCAAGGCTGGCCAATTTCAGAAGGCAATAGAAGCACTATGGTGGTGTTGGCGCTGTTTAGTTAACAAAACAGCCCATTTGACTCATGTAACTGAAGTTGCTCCTCAATTAATTCCTAAACTCTTACCTCATTTGCTTACTACATAAAAGATGAGTTATCCACTGTATCCCTAAAAGAACTTGAGTTCGTTAAGAATCAATACGTAAGAGCTAGAAGAATTCCAAAAGTTAAGTTCAGCTCATAATAACTTCTGAATGCTCAGGTATAACAGGACCTAGCAGCTGTTGAATTTAAGTGGCATCCTGTGACTTCCCTTAAATAAGAAAGTTACTTTCCTTTACTGTATTATGCTGAATTGTCCGTCTTGTTACAGTATCAGTCAGAATTAAAAGATGAAAGAATTACCAAAGTTCATGTCACTTAAATGATGCTTGCGTGTTTTTGTGTTAGGCACAAATGACTGAGATGAGACTAAACTTTGAACAAGTCACCAAGGAAAATGAAAGGTAAATAATTGCACTGCCCTGTTACTCCTGCTGGTTTTCTTAATTTCTAAACCTTAAAAAGCTTTTTTCTAGGACCTTGAAATCTTTTGAATCTATACTTAGGAGTCGAAGATTTCATACTCACGAGCTTGATGTTAGAGTCTTTAAGTGGTTAATACAGATTACAGCACCATATTTAGGAGTTTTAACCGTATATCTAAAAAAAAAGTAGATATTAAACTATTTCAAACTGTCTATTGTGTTTATAGAACAGACCTTCGATTTAAATACGAGTTAGAAGTAAATAGTGCGTACAGATTGAAGGTGCAGTATACTTCAGTTGCTAAAAGAATCCCTGTTAAAGAAATACTTTGCTGAACTTGGTTCTTTGAATTTCAGGCTGCATGCAGAGTTGAAAGAGGCCCTTGAAAAGCAACTGGAGGCTCTTCCTTTCATGTCTCTGGGAACTGATACTCCTGCAGATGAAGGAATAGTGAGAAACCTTCAAGAACAACTGCAACTGATGAATCAAGTGTGTGAGATGAAACATTTGTACTGTTTTATTTCTCTTGTTGTGCCTTGGCAGATGAGGGGAAGCTGTTCTATTTCTTCGTTCAGAATTCATTTGTTCAGAGTTCCTTAAGACTATTTTGAGGCCCTCTTGACTTTCTGTTGCTAAAGAAACAAGTACTTATACTTTCAACTTAAAAACCCAAAGGAACTTCTCTCCTAGATTCATATAGGAAGTTTTTAATATTAATTTGTGCCTTTTATGTAGTGGACTCGGTCTTTATATTGAATTCCTGACCAGGAAATTAATTAAATACTTTGTTCAATTCAAGTTTTTGTAGTAGCTTGTCATTTTAATAAAAAAAAAAATGTAATGAGATGTAAGGAGGCAAGTGTACATGGGATATAGAAAATAATATTTGAATCTGAAGAGACAAGGAAAATGGTTTGAGCTTATTACAGTGATGTATCAATCCTGTTGCATGTGATCAAGCTGAGGTTAAACCGACAGCTGAATTTTGATATTTGAATATATTTACTGTAGGCCTGCAGTAAACACCTGTAAAAGTTTGAGCTATAAAAAAGATCTGGAAAACTTGCAATTCACTGGTAGGTAGAATTTGAACTTGTAAGCATCTGAATTTGGTATTTTGTCTGTGTAGTTGTAATATAGGCAGAGAAAAGTACAGAAAATGGCATTTCTTTACAATAGAAGTTAAGACTTCTCTTTTTAGAGAATGATAGATGAAGGTAAATGTGCTGTAGTAGAATATTTTATAAAAATCATTGTTCTGTAACTTAGGAAAAAGAACAAGCAATAGAGCTCTGGCAGACTGTGTTACAGGAGCATGACCGACTCCAGCAGCAGTACCAGGAACGCATGACTGAAACACAGATTCACGTGGCTGAAAGGCAAAAGCAGAAAGTAATTTTCATTCTTTTTTTTTTTTTTTTTTTTTTTT